ATTCCCGAAGAATCACGAGTTTGGCAGATTTGAGCTGATCCAACTGTGGATCTCGAGTAGGTTTATCCAGTCCAGCGGAAATAGTCAGGAGCCGGAAGAGATTGGACGGCGGTACTTGGAGGAGCTGCGGTCAAGATCCTTCTTCGATGTTGTCCTGGACGCATATATGTTCCAGGTGTTCAGAATGCACGACCTCATTTACGAACTTGCCATTTCGGTGGGACAACCCGAATCGTCCAACATGAAAGTGTGGACGCAGGATATCTCCCCAATGACTCGGCATATATCATTTCCCAACCCATCTGGTGTACCAAAAGATGAACTAAGCCGCTGCTTGAGCAAATTGAGCCACGTTCGCACCATTATATGTGAGGGGTTGGGATCCTCTGACTCTGAGGAGTTCTTTATGGAGACGTGCATTTCGCGATTCAAGCACTTGCGAGTGCTATGGCTAAACGGCTCTAGCTTTGACCTACTGCCTAGTTCCATTGGCGGTCTAAAGCATTTGAGGTTTCTCAGTTTAAACGACAACCGCGATATCAAGAAACTCCCCAAATCGGTATGCGAGCTTCACAATCTGCAGTACTTAGGTCTTGGCAAGTGCGAGGAACTCGAGGAACTGCCTGCAAACATCAAGAATATGTTCAGCCTCCGCGTTTTGATTATAACCACGAAACAGCAGCGTTTCCCGGAGAGGGGAATAGGATGCTTGACCTCTCTGCGGTGGCTATTCATTGCAAAGTGCGAGAATTTGGAGGCCTTGTTCAATGATATCCAATCGCTCACGTCACTCCGTAAGTTGGTCATTGGATGGTGTCCGAAGTGTGCCTCCTTACCACAAGGAATCAAGAATCTGAAGGCATTGGAGGATCTCATGATTGGCGGCTGCCAGAGCTTGAAGCTGCCGGGAGGCGAAAGTAATGAACCAGGCTCCATGTCGAGGCTTCAATCCTTCATATTCGGGGAATTACCGGAAATAGTTTCTTTGCCCGGGTGGCTTGAAGGTTCTGCAAGCACACTGCAGACGATAAAAATTAAGGATTGTCCCAAATTGAGTGTATTGCCCGAGTGGCTGCGAAATTGTTCTTCTCTGAGAAAACTGGAGATTGAAGACTGTCCTGAATTGTCCTCTCTGCCAGATGGCTTTCGCCGCATTCCCACACTGACAGAGCTGCGGATATCCGGTTGCGGAGAATTGAGCAGTCGTGGAGAAGAAGAAGAAGATGATTAAACTTGATTCATGGGTGTCTGAGCAAACTCTCTAGGAATCCTCTCTCAAGCTTTGTTTTCCATATATATGTCGGGAAGCAAAGTCTTTTCTTTCCCTAAAAGAAAATGCACATTTCAATATTGTCCTTCATAAACCCTATTTATCATCTAGCGAATTCAAAATATTTCATTTCGATATTTACATTTTTGACATTTAAAATTCTATCACCCGTGGAAAGATTACTCCACACACGGTTGGCGTCGAAAGAGAAGTTCAACAAAAAAAGAAAAAGGGGAGGTTAAAGTCTTCGAACGAGAAATTTAAAGACACGTATGTGAAAATTATCCAAGCTGTCTTATAAGAATATATCTTTCAAGGCAATGTCTAGATATTTAAATATTTATTCGCAATTATCTTCTTCTTCAACATTGGTGCTCTGTTCAATTCCCCCACAATCAATTATCCGCAGCTTTCGTGGAAATGGTTTTTTCTTCAGATTCCAAGGCATGGCGTGGCAGTTGACAATGCAAATAAATCAAGACAATATAAGGAACATGATCTCAAAACATCGAATTTTAATTCATGAACGTGTCGAAAAAAAGAGGGAAATTTCCTACAACTTTCTCATTCGGCATTTTTACACTTCCATGACTTGGTAAACAGAAAAGACTAATCCGAATAACTTAAAGTAATCAACATTACATACACTATAATACAGTCCACGAATGCCCTGACTAACAGTCGAATTAACGAGTATTGTGATGAACATGGAATACGAATAATGTACGGACAAAATTAAAAAAACTTCCGATTCTTGGGATGGAGATTGTCATTGTGTGAAGAAATGTATGATGCGACTTTCCTTTACTCGGTGAGATTAAAATAAATATGTTCCTTCGGGAAAAGTAAGATCTCAGTTTGCATTTCTAAAAAAAAATCACGCGTCTTTTTAATGAGAATTTGAGTGATCATAAATGATAATTGACTTGTGTAATTTGAAGTAATGTTTTGGTTTTCCTTTTCCAATTGATTGTTTGCCTGACCAATGACCTCTTGCTTTAGGAAGCAAGGCATAGACAAGTGATGGAAATTTCTTGATAAGTTAGATTTGTATAAAGTATTACATTTTTCTGCACAACACAAAGGAGCTGCCTTATGTTAGTAGACGTTTCACTTTTAATTTCACTCCAATTTATTGCTTTTGTTGACTTAATTTATCTAATTATTTCCCCTGCGCCTGGTGTTTTTTTTTTCCCACTTCGTAAGTTCTTTTCGATTTACTATAATATCACAGGTCATTTTTTTTATATTTTCGTCACTTTAATACAAGTATTTGCATCAAATATCTACATCACTTCAATTTCAAGTATTCCTTGAATAATTACATTAGATAAATACATCTAAAACATCTAGCTTTAATTGATAAGTTTCTCATATAATACAGAATTATAATATTTTCAGATATTATGAGAATTGTCTTATTTCTTGTAAGTTTTCAGCTCAATTCGCGAGTTTACATCTAGGTTTATAGTAAATTAGAATAGAATTTCAAATAAAGTGGAAAATAAAATCACCAGGCATTAGAGAAATAATAAGTTAAGGAAATGAATAAATGGCAGTGAAATTAAACATCAAACAATTCAAAGGAAAGGTTGTTGTTTACATATACCCATCCAAGTTTATCTTTTCTCCATGCATTGCTGCCCGAAGCAACAGATTAATGGGTTACTAGGCCCAAGGTATGATGCTATGTTCGCCGTTTTCATTAGACTGGGCCAGTGACGCCAACTCAAAATCTCCGAACGATAAATAGCTTTCTCATCGAGAAGAGGTAATTATTCTTTTATTTTTTTTGTTGTGCAATTTTTTTTTTTGGGTCTGTTTTATCTCTAACTCTCGTATCTCTGTCTGACTTTTGCTCTGCCTCCTGCAGAGCGTGGGAGTTGAATCTCGCACCTATGATACTAGTGTCCCCACCCCCCAATCTCTTTACCAGCAGAACCGCATGCCTATTGACTTGTTGTACAATTAACTAAGCGTATTTAGATAGTCGAGACTTAAGAGTAGTGGAGAGTGGCGGTTCATAATTGGTTCCATTTTAAAATGCCAAAGGATGAAATAGCCCATGGATTCAATTTAAAATTAATTTGAGTTATTATCACTGTTAGGAGGTAACTTAACTCGAGAGGTTGAAAGAGGAAGCTCTCCCATTGAAGAATAGCATGGACGAATAAATACACTATGGAGATAGGATTTGATATTTTTATAAAAAAAAATTGTCTTGTTTCTTGTAAGTTTCCAGTTCAATTCACGAGTTAACGTCTAGCTTTATAGTAAAGTAGAATAGAATTTCAAATAAATTGAAAAATAATATGACAGGGCATTTGAGGAATAGTAAGTTAACAAAACCAATAAATGGGAGTGAAATTGTTGTTTACAAAATGCCCATCTAACATATATGCTATGTTCATTTACCTGTGGCTGGGCCCGTGACGTCCACTGAAACTTTCCTGACGATAGATAGCTGCCTCATCAAGAAAATGTAATCATTTTTTTATTATGTTTTCGTTGTACTATTAACTAATCATTTTTTTTAATAAGTGCATTGAAAATTTTAAAACTTGTTAACGAAAATGCAATTGAGTCCTAAAACTTTCAAAAGGTGCAATTAAATCCTAAAACATGTCACAAAAGTGCAATCGAGCCTAAAAATTTCAAAAAATGCAATCAATTCTCAAAACTTGTCACGAAAGTACAATTGAGTTATAAAACTTTCAAAAAGTGCAATCTTGATAGAACCAATTTGACAAAATTTAAGACTTGATTGTACTTTTTGAAAGTCTTAGGACTCAATTGGACTTTCGGAATAAGTTTTAAGACTTAATTGCACTTTTGTGACAAGTTTTAGAACTTTCAATGCACATATCCCTTTCTCTTTTTTTTTTTTATCTAATATTATCCTATGTCAATGTTACAAGCCTTCTGTGTTTGCTATGTACTGTCTGCAGATTGTGAAACTTAAGTAGAGCTATCAAAATGAGTCTTGGATTCATATTTTAACTCATATTTACCAACTAGATCATATGTGAGTTGATTAAAATTTAATATACGAGTTTAAATGGGTCCAAGGAAGCAAAGCCTAACTAATTATGGGTTTTGACGGGTCAAAAAGAAACCTGCTTTCAAACTCATTTGATTTACTAGCAAAAGACAAAGGTCCAACACTTAGTCATCAACCCACGCCTCACCCAAAACAGATTGTACGCCTCCTTATCACCGTGGTGCACCACCACCAGCGTCATTAAATTTACATTGAATTAAAAATAGGTCAATATAGGTCGGACCAATTTCAAGCGATCCAAATCCGACCTAATCCGCCCATTTGACGGCTCTACTCATGAGTAGTGGAGAGTGGCGGTTAACAGCAAGTTCCATTTTTAAGTGCTAAACGATGAAACAGCCTATGGATTTAATTTAAAATTAATTCGAGTTATTATCAATGTTAGGAGGTAATTTAATTCGAGAGGTGGAAAGAGGAAGCTCTCCCTTAAAAGAAGAGCATGGACAAATAAAGACACTATAGAGATAAGATTTGATATTTTTTTCACTTATTATATCCGGTGGATCTTACTAGCCTGATTCTAAATGTAATGGATAAGAGAAATCTAAGTATTAGAATTAAAGTACGAGAAAAAATAAAAAAAAAAAGGAACCTTCAAAAGGATCAACTGGGCCCTGATGGGCCGGGAAAGCCCATTTTCCACTGAAAGGTCCATTTTCATCTCCCCGCCACCAAGGGACAGCTCTGGTTAAAACCCTAACCACACCAGGTGCTATATAAAAGCCAAAACTAGGGTTTCGTTTCCCCCCATCGCCAGCGAGAGAGACAGAGCGCTTCCGCCTTCTGCCGCCTCCTCCTCCTCGTCCTCCGTCGTCCTCTCCAATTCCAAGTGCCGCCCTCTTCCTCTCTCTCTCTCTCTCTCTCTCTCTCTCTCGCTGCACCCGTCCTGCGCGATTTCTTCCTCGCGTGCTTACCGTGTACTCTTTCGTTGTTCGCAGGCATGGCGGTCGCAGCTGCTCCCGTGGAGATCCAGCCCGTCTCCGACGTGAAGCTTTTCAACCGGTGGTCCTTCGATGACGTTCAGGTTCGTCGATTGCTCCCCTTGCAAATCGCGCGTTTCGGACGGCATTTGCACGTGTTCTGCTTTTTGGTTGCCTCGGTTCATGTGATGCATCTGCCTGCTGTTAGATTCTGGCAGAAAAAAGCTTGTCAGTAGTGAGGGACAGCGGTATTTGGTTCGCCGGTGTTTTGATATGAGAAAAGTTCTAATTGGTCGTAGTGGGTGTGTAAAAAAGCCCTTAACTTGGTGGTTGAGTTTGAATGGCTGCGTTACTGAAACTTCTAGGGTCTAATAACATCGCTTTCCTGATTGTGTTTATCTTGGTTTGATCTCTTTGTTGATATTGTATGGGGTCGGTGTTGTCCACTATTGTGCGCGTCGGCCTTAACTTGAATTGCTTATCGAAATGCATTCAGTAAGTTTAGTCTGGGTACATTTGAACCTGAAGTTGATACATTTTAAAGCGTTAGACCTGGTTTCTCTCGAACTGGTGGAGCGGTGATGGTGATTGACATCTTTCTAAGTCTGAGATAGTTCTTTCCTTTGAAAAGTTTGGTCTAGACGCTCAGTGTCTGAGCAACTCTTTCACATAGGTCTGATTCATATTCAGTCTGATTTTATTTTGGCTTATGGAATTTTCATGTCTCTTCATCTTGCTGATTTGTAGAATTCTTGTTTTGTGTGGTTTGGCATAAATTTGTTAGATCTTGTGTTTCTAAATCTAGTGGGATCAGATCATTTTTATTTATTTTTTAATCACTGACGAGAACTATCGAGGAATCTGTATGTTAAGCATCTCTCGAAAATGGGGAAGCATACCCATTAAGATTTGGTTTTTCGATTTTAGTTTTATTTTGACAATTCCTTTTGTTGCTTTTAGGTGAATGATCTTTCATTGAACGATTACATCGCTGTCCAACCGGCCAAGCATGCTACATATGTTCCCCACACTGCTGGTAGGTACTCAGTCAAGCGTTTCAGGAAAGCTCAATGTCCAATTGTGGAGAGGCTCACTAACTCCCTGATGATGCACGGGAGAAACAACGGGAAGAAATTGTTGGCTGTCAGAATTGTGAAACATGCCATGGAAATCATCCACCTTCTCACTGATCAAAACCCAATCCAAGTCATTGTGGACGCTGTCATCAACAGGTGCGTATCAAGGAATATCTATTTCTTATACAAGGTTGTTAAGAGCGTTCACCCACTCATAGTTGGTGTAGATGGAAAGGCTTAATATTAATGAGTAAAAGTATCTAAGAAATTGATTATCGTATTTTATCCTAGTTCATTTATATAATATGCGATTTCTAATTGCAGTGGTCCTCGGGAAGATGCTACTCGTATTGGGTCAGCTGGTGTTGTGAGGCGTCAGGCTGTGGATATTTCCCCCTTGCGACGTGTGAATCAGGCAATCTATCTGCTGACCACTGGTGCTAGGGAGTCAGCTTTCAGGAACATCAAGACAATTGCCGAGTGTCTGGCTGATGAACTTATTAATGCTGCTAAGGGTTCATCCAACAGGTAACTGATGCCATTTGTTTGTCTTCCTCACAATGGCCGACCCTTTTGCTGCACAACTTCCTACTTATAATTTGTTCATATGCACGGATGCTTATAATTTGTTCTGCAGCTATGCCATCAAGAAGAAGGATGAGATAGAGAGAGTTGCCAAGGCCAACCGTTGAGTTGAACTGCAAAGTCTCAAAGTGCGAGAGTTTCATAGTAGCTTTTGTTTTTATTATGTTTGTCTTTTTGGAATGATGTCACTGGATATGCCTTTGCTTATGAAAATTTTGGATTGAATTTCTCCATGTTATGAAGATTAAAGAGGGATGGTGATACTTTATGTTGTTAGGTTCATTTATTTATGTCATCCTATCAGCGTTGGTGTTTTCTATCTTATTGCATTGCACTTTGTTTCCTTGCATGCTTTCACATCTTGATCGGTTGCGCTAATTTTCGAAATGCATGTCAAGTTTTCAGCTTCGTTGGCATCTCATACTCTCTCTCTCTGTGGGTAGCAACAAGCATTGGTAATTTTCTTTTTCACTTTGAAGTTGGTTCAAGCTGGTTGTGGATCCACTTGACTACACTCGTGTGCCTTCTTGGCACGAGGTGTTCCCCGCAGACTGTCGTTCCAGGAAGTTTGTAGTCTTACTGATTGAGTTAGCATGTCAATCCTTCTAGGGTTAGCTGTCTAACTTATCCTAAGAATGAAACGAGAGTATAGGAGTGAACCTTCAAACTTCAAAAGATGGTTGTGGACTGCGGACTATTATCTTCGTTTTTCTCTGGTGTTGGAACCTGGAACCCATCTATCCGGATGTAATTGAAAATGGCTTTGCAAAAGTGCTCACTTTAGCTCACGGAACCTGTAAATATGCATGACCTACTCTGGAGAAGGTATGGTTTGCCCTGCCCTATTTCGTCTCCAATTCCACGAGTTCCTAAGAGCATCTGGGAGAGAATGCGTAGGGTGGATTGCAATCGGAACTCGAGCTTTGAACGGAAGGGAACGCGCATTGCACGATCCTTTTGATTGATGACGTTGATGATATTTGATCAATTCTTTTCCACTTTATGTTATGCAACATTACTTAGGTAAAAGAATTTATGATATTTTTGCATCACAATAAAAAGAAGATAAATTTGAAAATAGAGAGAAGAAAATAAGGCTGCCCTCAAGGATGATCGATTCCGAGTGAATCGGTTCTTGGTTCCACAAACTGGTTTGTTCCAGGTTCCAAAATGGGAACCGACTCAATTGATCATGAAAACCAATTTGGTTTTAAAGTCAATCCGAGAACGTCGGGTATTGTGTTTAGGTTTCTTCTATTTGTAAGTTGGTGTAGTTTGTTATGATTGGGGGGGAATGTCTGGTGGTTTGACCGCTTTCTTGCCCAACACATTGCCATCGGCATCTTTTACTACTAGATGAAAGTTTCATGTACGCATTAAAGCCCAAAAATGGCACGTAAGTTTGCGAATATCCAGCAGTGTTGGTGGAAAAACCTGGAAATTGTGCAGGTTTCTCTTAAATCGGTTGATAAATGGTAAAGGACCATGCACAAGTGATTGCTCTTGAAAGATCCAAAAAGAAAGTAAAAAGAAGAGAGAAAGCCTTTGGGGATTTCTGTAACTTCGAATCAATCTCGCAAAAAGAAAAGTACAAGACCACGGTGAGCGCGGTACAGCTGGGGCAGTGGACGGCAACAAGCTGGCGACACCATGGTGGCGGCTGCGTGAGCGAACCGGAGGGCGAGAGACTAAGGGTGCGAATGGTAACCATTCTGCTCCAGAAATCAAATTCTTGCCAGAAATTGATTTCTGGAATTCTTGCTAGAAATTGATTTCTGGAGGAGAAATATGTTTGGTAAAACATGACTAATTCTGCTCCAGAAATTGATTTCTGGAACAGAAATTTATTTTGATTTGTTGATTTTTTTTGCACCTAAAAAAATTTAAATTTTACTCAAAGTGGGTGGCCACATGTATTATAAGCTATTCTGTAAAGTTTTGAAATTTTTGATTTTTTTTAATTTTTTTTGGCACCTAAAAATTTTTAAATTTCACTCAAAGTGGGTGGCCATATGTATTCTAAGCCATTTTGTGAAGTTTTGAATTTTTTTATTTTTTTATTTTTTTATTTTTTTGGGCACCTCAAAAAATTTAAATTTTACTCAAAGTGGGTGGCTACAGATATTCTAAGCCATTCTGTGAAGTTTTGAAATTTTTTATTTTTTTTATTTTTTTTGGGCACCTCAAAAAATTTAAATTTCATTCAAAGTGGGTGGCCACAGGTATTTTAAGCCATTTTGTGAAGTTTTGAAAATTTTTATTTTATTATTATTATTTTTTTTTTGCACCTAAAAAAATTTAAATTTCACTCAAAGTGGGTGGCCACAGGTATTCTAAACCATTCTGTAAAATTTTTTATTTTTTATTTTTTGATTTTTTTTTGCACCTCAAAAAATTTAAATTTTACTCAAAGTCAGTGGCCACAGGTATTCAAAGCCATTTTGTAAAATTTTGAAGTTTTTGATTTTTTTTGATTTTTTTGGGCACCTAAAAAAATTTAAATTTCACTGAAAGTGGGTGACCACAGGTATTCTAAGCCATTCTGTGAAATTTTGAAATTTTTGATTTTTTGATTTTTTTTGGCACCTCAAAAAATTTAAATTTCACTCAAAGTGGATGGCCACATGTATTCTAAGCCATTTTGTGAAATTTTGAAATTTTTTATTTTTTCATTTTTTATTTCTTGTAAAAAAGGAAATTTGGGCTAGAATGCATTCTGGAAGAGAGAAGCTACAAAAAGTAGCTTCTCTTTTTTGGGCCAAAACTCATTCTGGAAGCAAAAATTCATTCTAGAGCAAAAAAAAGAATGAAGTTTTACCAAACGCGTTTTTATTCCAGAATGCAAAAATTGCTTCAAAATGCATTCCAAAATTATTTTAACAAACACATTTCTGTTCCGGAATGCATTCTGGAGCAGAATTTCTGCTCCAGAATGGATTTCATGCGCGCCCTAAGAGTGACCGAGGCGGGTGAGCCTAAGAGAGAGAGAGAGAGGTGCAAATATGATAGTAAACCGAGCGATTACATCGGTTCGGTCCGGTTCAGCACAAGGAATTGCGAACTAGACAAATTATTACCGGTTCTAGATTTGCGGAACTGGTTCCGGTTCCCGCCGGAACGGTTCTCGGGTGGGATCGGGACCGGCGCCCAACCCTAATGCTTTGAAAACGGGAAGAAAAGTTTTCCTGGAGCCCCTGACAACGGAAAACTCGAACCTTTCCTCCTGTCTCTCCCGCTCGCTCGCTCGCGATGAAGCTGCTGCGAACCAGCGGCGGCGCACTGGGCAACGACTCGACTCGTGGAATCGCGAGCAATGCGGCGATCGGCTTCTCTCCTCAGCACTCGCCGTCGCCGTCGCCGTCGCCGTCGCCGCCGCTCTCGTCGGCCGAAGCGGCTCGAAGGGGCAGCAAGAAACCCGCGGACGGTCCCATGACGGAGCTGCTCCGCAGGATCTCCCCTCTCGGCGATCCGAAGCTCTCGATCGCCCCGGTGCTCGACCGGTGGGTCGCGGAGGGCAACCCCGTCGAGCGGCGGCCGTTCCTCCGCCTCATCAAGCGAATGAGGTCCTACCGTCGCCACAGCCACGCGCTCGAGGTATTTCCGATATCCGTACGTGTACTTGCGAGGGTGCGCGGGGGCGCTAGATGCTGAAAAGGAACCTAGGTAGTAGCGGGATCGAATTTGATCTTCCCAGTGATCGATTGGATTCGGCTTGGTTCAGAACTGCAACCTTACTGCGTCATTTATATAGAGGGGATTGGTTGAGCCGTTGAGGTACTGTGTTTGGATTCGATTATTATATGGTTATTGCTTGCTGCGAGATAATGAGATGCTGGATGTCAAGAGTATGCAAAATGCAAGTATGTATCTTTGGTTTGAAGGGACCTCCCTTTCGAAGCCTCATCTATCTATGCTCTTTGGAGAGGAGGATTCTAGATTGTGGCTCTACATGAACCACAGTCCAAGGCAGAAGATTTAGCAAAGCAGATTTTAAAAATTCCGTAGCACTTTGTCAAATGGTTTCGAGGTTAAACCAGACGTCGTTATGGCCGCAACTACAGCCACATCACAACCTTATAAAAGCACGGCACAAAATTCACAGCCCGTAATGCAAGCTGTGTTTTTGGGACACATGGGGAACGGGGGTGCTAATGCTGGGTTTGCACAAGATTTCTAGGAAGAGTAATGTCATCTTTAATGGACTAAATGCATCTACTTCCACAAAATACTATTCCCCTTTTCTTTTTCTGTGTTGAGGAGACAGTTTTTGTTCCACTGTTTTTTCCTGAAAGTGTGGAGCAACCTGCTCTTTAAAGGAGCCGTTGTTCTTTATGTTACTGCATAATTAGTACTATAATGTGCAACTGATTATGAAGCTGTGGCATTTGATTATTTCTGTCTGTATCAAGTAGAAGAGTAATCTTTCCCACGACCAACAGACATGTCAGCATTTTGTTGTACATTCCTTGTGTGTTTCTTTTCTTTCTGTTACCCTTCCTAGCTCTAAGTGGTCAATGGTAGAGCCACCAATAGAGAATGTGATCAGCTAACCCATAAGATTTACCTTTGTACGCTTTTGAAGGGTCGCATGGATTGGGTGGAAGAAATTTTTTTTCAATTTCAGAAAAAGTGGGAAAAATGAGAAAAAATGGGTTCGTGCTTCAAAGACAAACTGGGAGAGCTGCTCTGGAATTTTGTGTTATTCTTGATTTATTAGTCATGAAATGATGTTGGGGATTTATTTGCATGCAAGCCAAAATGCATGAACTGAAATGATGGGAGCGAACTAAGTTGCACATGCTGAGTGCGCTGCCGCCACACACACACACAAGCGCGCATTTTATTGTAAATATGAAACTTTGTTTTCTTGTACTCCTTTCTGCTTGCTCACTATAATTCAAGCATTATTTTGCATATAGATGGATACGGCTGAGATGAAGTAGTGCGCTATGAGAGTCATTTTCATGCTTCCAGCCATCACTGTTCCAGGGCTTGCTTTGTCCTTATAAATGAGACATGCTAAGCTTGCTTTCCATTCTTTATAATTAGTCTCTACCAATCATGTTATATATGCAAGACAAGTTTCGAATTGAGATGTGTGGATCAAACGTATAGCACATCTGACATTGTAATGAAAGGCTGCCTGGGCTGAGGCAGCTGTTCTTGAAATTCATGCTACTGTTAACATTACATAGCCAGTCACTGTGCTATGAACCATCGAATATAGTCGTATGGTTTTAGTATAGGCTCCATTTTCCTTAAATAACAATGCCTACGTAATGATATTTTTTGAAATTTAGTGGTTGGAGAGTTGATGCTTCCATCTATATCATCTCATAATTCATAAATTCATATCTCATTATATTAGTATAAATCCTCATTATCTTTTGTAGATATCGATGTGGATGTCTGATAAAAGGTATGTTGCGATTACTACTGCGGATGCTGCTGTTCGGCTCAATCTGATCTCAAAAGTCCATGGGATAGAACAAGCAGAGATATATTTTGATAACCTTCCCAGACGGCTTAAAGTCGAAAAGGTCTATATTTCTCTTCTTAATTGCTATGCTAAGGCAAAACTTCCGAAGAAAGCAGAGGCTCTGTTGGAGAAAATGAGGCATCTGGGATTCTCAAGGTCTGTCCTTTGCTTCACTAATTTGCTTAATCTTCACTATCGGACTGGAGACTATGATAAAGTAGATGCTCTGATTGATGAGATGGAAGAAGAAAAGATTCATCTGAATAGATATATCTACAGTATCTGGCTGAGTGCCAGTACAGCTGCTTCTGACACTGAGAAATTCGAGATGATTCTAACACGGATGAAAATGGATGCTAATTTTGTTTGGGACTGGACAACAGGTGTTGTGGTAACCTCTGGATACTATAGATTGGGTCTTCTCGACAAAGCTCTGGAAATGCTAAAGAAATGTGAGGGACTGATAACTGAGAAAACAAGTACCGTGGCATACGATTTTATTATTACACAGTATGCAGCAGCAGGGAATAAAGATGAAGTTCTAAGACTATGGGATGCTTACAAGAATAAGAGAAAAGTATACAACAAGGGATATAATTGCGTCATGAACTCTCTGCTGAAGTTCGACGACATTGAAAGTGCTGAAATGATTCTGGAGCAGTGGATGTCTAGTGATTTGACCTGCGATATTCGTATTCCAAATAACCTGATTCATGCTTATAGCAAGACCGGTCACCTTGAGAAGGCCGAGACACTGAAGAACGAATTTGTACGGAAAGGTGGAAAGCTTGATCACATGACATGGTACCATTTGGTCAAAGGATATATCCAAAATAATCAGATGCCAAAGGCATATGATGCCTTGAAGAAAGCAATATTGGTTTGTCCATCTTGGTGGAAGCCAGGTCCGCAATCTTTGACTGCTTGTCTGGAATCCATAATAGGAAAAGAAAGTGCTGAAGAAGCCAGAGAATTTATTGAGTTGCTTAGGGCCAAAGATATTATTTCTGCGGATGCCCAAAATAGGTTGTTGAATTGCATTTATGACGAAAAAGCAAGCTGGGAAGCTCTCAGTGAAATTATCGGCAACGCTCTTGGGGACAATGCGGAAGCACCGGGAACACTTGGGGAAGTGGACAAGAGCAGAGGGCATGGTGTATGGGATGCAAATGCAGCCGTTGCCGATTCAGATTGTGAAAGTTTGTCGGGTGAAGAAACACAATAGATGAGCACCAGGAACTCGTTTGCACTTTGGGCGTTACGGTGGGTGCACAAAATTACGGGGCGCGCCATATCTGTTGTAAGATTGGGCTTCTGCCATGAAATTTCTTTATAGTTGCCCATCTTCTGGTGAACAAGTTGTTTGTGGAGCTCATGAGGCGATGTATATGGGCAAACATGATAGTAAATGTCTTCAGACTCTTCGCTCAATTGCTAGATTCAGGTGGCAATCTGGAACGATCGAGTGCCGTCAATTCCATACTAGCTAGCATCAGCTGTAAACACCGAAACTGCACTGCGCCAGAGGGATGAGGGAAGTTCATATGGTCTGTCTGAGGACTGTAGTGCCCAAGAAATTCAACGCCTCAGACGCTGTTTCCTGTTTCGCATCAGGCCCGCCCTTGTAATTTTCCTTCTGTTCTTAGTAAGATGGCGTGTGATTGTAGCAAGTACCCATCGATGGTGCCAATCGCCGCTTAATTTTCGCCACCTTCTCAGGCAGATGATGCTAGCTCATGATGATCGATCTCATTGCTGTGTTCATTTCTTGGGAGGGATCCTCTCCTCGGTACTTGCAGCTAATGTCAAGCGAATGTGTGCTGCATGTATTATTGATGCGTATAAGGTGTAATGGGATCGGAATTCGTGGTTTCGCTTTTGGAATCACATTTCGAAAATTGATCACCGAGTTCATAATCCGGATCTCTTTCGGGCTCTTTTCACTTTTTATGCGTTCAGTGTGTTAAGCTTCTTCACGATTTGACCTTTCGTCTCATTTTGCGATTAATTGAATTAAAATGTGTCTTTGGATATCACAACGATTTAAGATTGATAAGGAATTGAAGACCAAGATTGCAAAATTGTTGGGAGTATTTGCTGGTCCACCTTTGGATTTGCTTAGAAAAAGCAAAATCAATATTTTATTGAGAACAATTGTAAACTTCAAAAAAAAAAAAAATTTGATATGTGTTATATATGCGTATCTCTACATGAATATATATATATAAGTTTTAAGTATTTCGATAGAAATAAAATTTGAAGAAAGCAAAAAAATTGTTGACCCAATTTTCACTTAAGAATTTAGAAAAATGTATAACAATAAAATAAGAAAAAGAGAAAATGCAGAGGAGTGCGCCTTCTATGGTTTCTTGTGTTCGTAGCTACCTGAACCCTCCCGCGGTCCTCGCATCACCGTCCCATTCCAAAGCCATGGAAGCACTCGCAGATCGCGACGTCGACGACGGCGGCGACGCGCCGACGCTCAGCTCCCAAGCCCTCGCGGCACTCCAGGAATTCCTCCGCGAGCAGAGCCAGTCGCCGGTGGACCAGTCGGAGGTGGCCCTGGTGACGGAGGACTGGAGGCTGAGCCAGTTCTGGTACGACCGCGAGACGGCCGAGGCCGTCGCCAACGAAGTCCTCGCGCTCTGTTCGGGTTCTCCCTCTCGCGTTGCCTGCATCGCTTGCCCCACGCTATACGCTTATCTCAAGGTGCGCCATTTTTCCTTTTTTTTGTTCCATCGGCTTGTCCATGGTTGAGCATTTCTCTTTGGGGGGAAAAATGGGGTTAGGGTTTGGTTCTCCGCCCTCGCTAAAACTATGAAACCGGATTGACGAACTGATCGACTGCGATGATGATATGAACTGCGCTCTGTGTTTCTACTTGACAATGAGCTTCCTGTTTTATGCATTTTTCCAATGTTCTTGTTACTCCTTGTAAATGCAAACGACCAACGCGAGCCTCTGGTCGATGTTATTGTCTACTCCGTGTAACTGCAAAGGGGTAGTGTGAGCCTCCGGTTGATGTTCTTGTTACTGCCTTCTGGGTTCTGGTCCATGCCTTTCCTTATGTCATGTTTCGCCGCGCATACTGTCGGGAGTGTGCATACCCTGTCATTCGACTATTCGAGCAATCTTATTGGAATTGGGCTTCACCGAGAGAGTGATTGGCTCAACGCCACCCTTGCAAATGCGATGATCAGTGTCAAAGTTCGATGACCCCAATGCTGAATCAATTAAATAAGATTTGACTTTGGAATAAGCGAGTTGATTTCAAGCGACCATCTTATTGGAACAAATTTCAGTTTGGAGTATGCTATCCTGTTCGGCATTTTGACATATATCGTCTCCTTAAGGAAAATGAAGGGGGAATGGTCAGTTATAGAAGCTATTGCTGTTTGGAAGCCGTATCGCCTTTGTCCCCTTATTGTCGAACTCTTTTCCTGAAGTAGAACCTCAAGGTTGTTAGTATGTTAATCCTGTCCATGCCGGAACACTCGAGCTTTGAGCTTTTAACTTTCTATGGTCTTTTGGCTTTCACTTGGTTATTTTATATAATGTAAGTAGTAGGTGGTCCGTAATGTCCGGTCAAGTATCAAATGGGAAGATAGTTTTATAAAATGCGTGAACAATCGATAGGTGTTGCATTATGCCATTTGTTGTAGTACAAGTAAAATATTTTGATGCGCCTATCAAACCAATGATTTAGTCCAGCCTTGAAGTCTAAGAGAAGATTCGGCCATAATGAGATGATTTAAAGTAGTTTATCAACTTTTGGAATGGGTTTACTCTTTTCATCGACGCTCATATCTCAGATTATGAAGTGTGCATGTCATTGGCATTTCATTATGCGAAAGGTCTTTGAAGTAACATATTTATGGTATCATATCAGAGAATTGATCCCAGTGTCTCTGTGCAACTGCTTGAGTACGACAAACGTTTTGAACAATACGGAAGTGACTTCACTTTTTATGACTACAACCAACCAGAAGAGTTGCCAACTGAAATGAAGGATGCTTTCCAAGTTATTGTCGCAGATCCTCCATACCTGGTAAGTTTACGTGGCCTCGCAAACTATAAATGCTTAGGCCTCCCTATTCTATGCTTACCGTGTCTTATCTTGTCCCGGAACCGGAAGATCCTTTAATGGACACTCTTATGTATCTCTTTTCATTATCAGCTGCATACATTTTGATTCCTTTCTTTATGAACCACAGAGTGGGGAGTGCTTAGAGAAAGTTGCTCAAACCATATCTTTCCTCTCGCAGTCGAACGCTTACTTGCTGTTACTTACAGGTATGTGTGGACTGTTAGTCCTCCTGTGGTTCCTTTAACGTAACTTCTTGGTTTATTGTCTTTCATTTGCAGTGACTTTATAGCTATGAACTGCTGCAGTTCTATTTTCCCCTCTTTTTGGAGTATGCTGGATGCCTTATATCCCTTCCTAACGGCTGGCAAATTCTGAGATGCTTGCAGGAGAAGTTCAAAAAGATAGAGCTGCAGAACTTCTTGGTTTGCATCCATGCATATTCCGGCCTAAGCATTCCAGCAAGCTTGGGAATGAGTTTCGCCTATTCACTAACTATGATCCAGGGACTCGATTGGGAGGATGGGAGCAAGAGAAATAGATAACGCATCTTTTGACGTGAATTTTGTTGGTTAGTGTTGTTTTTCATGTCAAAAGGGATGTCATAAGCTTGCCAGTTTGCCCGGAGGCATGACCCTATAATCAAGTACGACATAGTATTTGCATTTTTTCTGCAAACTTAACCCTGGGCTGATACTGATAAAAAAAACCCTAGGTTGATGAATGGTCTAACTTTTGACCTCAAAACGTTTTTTGGAGTAAATTCCGACCGTCACAATTTACCCACACATATATACCAATTTGGCCTTAACTTTTTAAACCCTCAATGGGTATCTTAGGTTACCCTAGAAACGTAATTACTAGGGGTGTCAATGGTTCGGTTTGGTTCGGTTCGGATTTTAAGGAAAACCGAACTGAACCGAACCGAACCGAACCATTTAGATGTGTGCTTGCTTCGAACCGAAAGGCGACACGAACCAATTTGATCCGAACCGAAAAATGCAGTTCGGTTCGATTTTAGGTTTTCTTCTTTTTCATTTTTTCTGCGCTTCTGCTTCCTCTGTAACGGTCTGTGCAATGTTCAATTCCCCTCTCTCTCTCTGGGTAGATTCTTCACTAGTTGAGTAGCGAAATTTGCAGCTTTTGAGCTGAATCTCGTCCGATTTATTGAGTGAGTCGAGTCTTGCGAGAAATGGCTGCCGGAGCCTCTCGCTCATCGAGTCCAGATTCGGAGTCCACGGCGAGGCTCCTGGGGTCGACAACGATCGGGGAGGTCAGGCTATACGGTGCCGATCCGGTGATAATCAGGCGTTGGCGGACACCGGCGTTGGGATCGTGATCGGGGTGGCCAACGGCGACATACCGTCGCTGGCCTCCGATCCCGGCGCGGCCGCTCGGTGGGTCGGCTCCAACATCCTCCCGTTTTGTCTCGCCAGCAACATCAATCTCGTCACGGGGGCCTCGGACGTGGGAGACGGCAGCGGGGACGGGGGCGACAGGGGGAGGCGGCAAGGTCGTGGGGAGACGGGGCGGAAGCTGGCTGGGTGGTTGCCGCAGTCGGGGAAGGCGACGGGGACGCCTTGGGCGAGGGCGAGGGCGACTTGGACGGGGTGTGGGCTGGCAACAGTGCCACTGCCAAGCAGACGAGGAGGACCGCCATTGTGGCCAGAGTGAGCAACGCGCTCGAGCCAGCCATGGGAGAAGAGCGAGAGAGAGAGAGAGAAGAGTGAGTGAGAAGAGAGAGAACAGATCAGAAAAGGGAAAGAGAAAAAAGTGGGTGAGGGAAGAGAGAGTGCACGAGAAGGGACGAAAAAGGAAAAGGAAACCGAATCCGATCCGAACCGAAACCGTATCATCAACAAACCAATTTTTTTTAATTTATAATCTGAACTGAAACCGAACCGAAATCGAAAAATTTGTATTTTTGATTTTGGTTCAGTTCGATTTTCGGTTCGGTTTTTGACACCCCTAGTAATTACCTGTCCTTCGTCAAACGAAACTCAAGATGGGTTGAATGATATGATAAGGTAATTTTTGGAAGAAAAGTAACAATTTGGCCTGATTTGAAGTCAAATTTCAAGCTTGAAGTCAAATTTTTGGAAGAAAAGTAACCCCCCCCCCCCCCCTCCCCCACCAACTCTTTTTTATCATAAAGAAAAATAGGAACGAAAAGAAAAACTTGTTTTTCTTCTTTTCTATATTCATAGGGATACCGTGACATATTCAAGTGGGTCTTTTAAAAAAGAAAATTGCGGCACCATATCGAGCCAAAACTCAATTTATTATTGGTTGATGCTCGCATTTGGTTCATTCCGTGTTTCCAATTTTCATATTCTAAACCTCTCTTTACGTGGAGTTTGAACCACATGATACACGGATATTGTTGGGAGAGAGTAGCAAATTCCAATACAGAGATCGACAAGAGAGAGCCCGAATTCAAATCGCATTTACTCAAAAGTTTTAGTCATTGAGTTATGGACTAACTTGAATATATTAATTACTCAATACTAAATCGATTCTCCGATGTTCAACTTTTTTAACACAGCTACACGTGCATCTCAATAGATATTTCATCATTTCGTTATGCATTGCTTCCTAAAGTAAGAGATCATTTGGTCAGACATACAATCAATTGGAATAGATAAAAACCAAACAGTATAACCAAGATTTCAAATTACATAAGTCAATTATCATTTATGTCCACCCAAATCCTCATTAAAAGACGCGTGATTGTTTAGCAATGTAAAATAGAGATCTCGTTTTTGTCGAAGGTACATATTTCCTTTAACCTCATGTTATAGTATTTACTTGTAGGGAAAAATCAGAGCTTACAATGACCATGCATTCTTTGAGCACAAACATCATCAAATGATGATTTTCAGATGGTGGAAAACAATTCCAAAAATTATATTAATTGCGTAAAGGAAAATCGCACCATACATTTCTTATAGTCTTCGAACGGGAAATTTAAAGATAAATATCTAAAAATTGCAAAATGGCCCTTTAAGCTCTCTCTCTCTCTCTCTCTCTCTCTCTCTCTCTACATATTGTCAATCTACTCTTTCGAAGTTTTAAAAATGATTCGATTTCCTCTAGTCAAGATGTCATTTAAAATTCTCTTTTTTGAAATGGGTGAAATGGATTAAATCACCTCGACAACGAGTCCTAATCTATATTTCTCTATCATTTCAATGCAAATTGTCATCGCGAACAATCTTGGGCTATTGTTGCTGAATCTCAAGCAGTAGTCGTTGACTACTACTCAATTAGTCTCAGTTAGTATCAATTGGACTTGAGAAGCTTTCAGTCGGTCATTAAATTGACAACGGTTCATTCTTGACTGGTGCCTGTGCATCCTAAGTTATAGTCAATTGTTCCATAATGCCTATCCTTAATCCCCCGACGGTCATCAAGCAGTCGGGTGTCGTCAGCAGAATCCAATTTTCAAAAGATTTTACAATTTACATATTTGTTAATCGAAAAAATATAAAAGGTTATCACATACATGTCAATGGGCCTAGAAAACCTCATTTTGAATCAAGCCTCCAAGTATGGGAGGCGCCTTGAAATTTTTTCATCCTCAAATTCTAACTTCTAAATTTCTAATAACATGACACGTTGAGGTGCTTCGACTATTTTTTTTTTCAAATTGTTTATGTTGAGGGGTAATTAACCCCCAACATAGATAATTAAATGGAATTGCAAAATGCAAAATTGCCACTTTTGCTTTGCAGATAGGATCGCACACTTTCTCGAAGAATTTGTAAGAATTCGACTTACAAGAACATTGTGTATGAAATTAACAGACCGAAAGTCATCGGATGAGCAATCATTTGAATTGTACGCGTGATCGAATTTTAATTCATAATCTTGTCAAAAAAGACGGGGAGTTTGCTTGTATCGATGAATCAATTTATTCTCTTCCTTCCACCTATCCAATTTAAATTCATAAACGTGTCAAAAAAGAGAGGGAGTTTGCTTATACCGATGGATCAATTTATTCTCTTCCTTCCACCCGATAAGCAATCATTGGAATTGTACGCGCGATCCAATTTTAATTCATAAACGTGGCAAAAGAGAGGGGGAGTTTGCTTGTATCGATGAATCGGTTTATTCTTTTCCTTCCCTCGATATAAATCTCCGGGACGAGAGCGATCTTGCTCCAATCTCCAGCTCTAATACCAATTGATGAAAAAGACAACAGACTCGCTGAAGGATAACACACAACTTTTTATTAGAGGTCTCCACAATGTCGGTGGAGAGAACTCTTCACACACACATAAGCACACAAATATTTCCAGAAAGATATCTTTCTAGATATTTCTAGAGTGGCTCACATTTCTACACTCAATCGTACAAGAGAATATCTTACAAGAAAATATTTGGATACTCATATATCTAGTCGCTATCTTCGGCGAAAGAAACTGAGGCTTCTTCTTCTTCATCACTGCTCAATTCCTCGTTAATAATTGTGGCAATGCGGCGAATGCCATCTGGTAAAATGGACAATCTACGACAGTTTTTAATCTCCAGTGTTCTCAGAGAAGAACAGTTTTGCAGCCACTCGGGCAATGTCCTCAAGTTGGGACAATCCTCAATTTTTATCCTCTGCAGTGTGCTTGCAGAACCTTCGAGCCACCCAGGCAAAGAAACTATTTCCGGTAATTCCGTGAACATGAAGGATTGAAGCCTCAACATGGAGCGTGGTTCATTACTTTCGCCTTCCGGCAGCTTCAAGCTCTTGCAGTCGCCAATCATGAGATCCTCCAATGCCTCGAGATTCTTGATGCCTTGTGGTAAGGAGGCCAACTTCGGACAACCTCCAATATACAACTTACGGAGGGACGTGAGCAATTGGATATCATCAAACAAGGCCTCCAAATTCTTGCACTCTCCAATGATTAGCCACCGCAGAGAGGTCAAGCATCCTATTCCCCTCTCCGGGAAACGCTGCTGTTTTGTGGTTACAATCAAAACGCGGAGGCTGATCATATTCTTGATGTTTGCAGGCAATTCCTCGAGTTCCTCGCACCTGGCAAGACTTAAGCACTGCAGATTGCGAAGCTCGCAGACCGATTTGGGGAGTTTCTTGATATTAGGGTTATTGCATAAATAAAGATACCTCAAATGCTTTAGACCGCCAACAGAACTAGGCAGTAGGTGAATGCAAGAGCCATCTAGATGTAGCACTCGCAAGTGCTTGAATCGCGAAATGCATGTCTCCAGAAAGAGCTCCCCAGTGGAACGCTCCTCAAACAAGAAGGTACGAACGCGGCTGAGTTTGCTCAAGCAGCCGCGTAGTTCATCGTCTGGTAGAAGAGATTGCCTGGCAAATGATATATGTCGAGTCGTCGGGGAAATATCCTCCGCGCGCGCGTTCACGTTGGACGATTCAGTTCGTCCCACTGAAATGGCAAGTTCGTGAATGAGGTCGTGCATTCTGAAGGACTGGCCCGCATATTCTTCGTTGACAACATCGAAGAAGGATCTTGACAACAGCTCCTCCAAGTACTGCTGTCCAATCTCTTCCAGCTCCTGATTATTTCCGCTGGATTGGATAAACCCGTTCGACATCCACAGTAGGATCAGTTCAAAGTTGTTGAACTCGTAGTTCTTCGGGAATATCGAGCAAAAAGCAAAACATTGTTTCAAGTAAGATGGCATTAGATCATAGCTTATCCTCAGTGAAGGTAAAATGTCAGTTTTTAATTGCCACATTTCATTATCTCTTACATATTCCCACTCCTTCCTGTCTTTTGAATATAACAAGCATCCCAAAGTCTTCACGGCCAGAGGATTTCCCCCGCACTTGCTCACGATTTCCTGGCCAATTACCATTAGGTCCGGGTGATTCTTCTCTTGCCCTTGATCGAACGCGCACTTCACAAACAAAGTCAGAGAATCCTCCAGCGAAAGATTGGCCAAATTAAGTGGGGGGACAGTGCCCATGATTGAGGTGACCGATTGATTCCGCGAAGTCATGATGACTTTACTCTCTTCGGAAACGCCTCCTAACAAATCTCTCAATCCCTCCCAATCCTTGCGATTCACTTCCCACACATCGTCCATTACAAACAAACACCTTTTGTTCTCCACGATGCTTCTTAGGCAATTTTGCAGCGCATCAAGACTATCATATTTTTCTTTGTCACCAAGAGACTTAATGATATCCCTTATTATCTTCGTAACCTCAAATTCTACTGGCATGGATAACCAAACTTTGCGATCAAAATGTTTGTTTACTCTATCGTCATTGTATACCAACTCAGCGATAGTCGTCTTTCCAGTACCTCCCATTCCAATAATCGAAACGACTGCTATCGTTCTAGCTCTACCATCATCTGATCTTATCAACATCTTTATAATGTTTTCCTTTTCTTCGTTTCTTCCAATCACATTCGAAGGAAGTACAAAAGAATGGGTTTCCCTCCGCGGAACTATGGTCTTTTCATAAACATCACTCGACAAGTTGAACCGAGTTTTCTCTTCATTGATCTCATCAAGTCTCTTTCTCAGTTCTTTCATATTATGTGCCATCTTAAACCGGAAAATGAAGTCGGACATCCACGAGGACAAGTAGCGTACCTTCTTTCTGAGGGTCTTTTTGAGGGTCAAGTGCTCGGTTGACCTCGCCGGCCTCCACAAAGCCCTGGCTTCGAATTCGTCTACCACGTCCTCGGCATCATAGCAAAAGTCTTTAAGCTTCGACAACCAAACCCTCACAGCTGCCTCTTTTGTTTGCTTCTGCTCAGCATCGGCGAGCACCTTCTGGATCATCTCTAGCGTGTTCTTGAGCTTCTCTCGATCATCCTTGACGCCCCATACCAGTTGAATTTCTTCAAAAGCCGATGAAGCTAGTTTCTGCACAATAGGTCCGAGGGTGCTAGAGACAACCTCAGTCATGGCTGTGATTGGTGTTATTGGTTTTCAAGGAGGTTTGGCGTAACCGCTATGCAGGAACTAAATTAGTTATCAGGAGAAGGATAGCAAAGAGGCATGATTTTGCCTGGTTATATAGGCAGAGACATGGGATTACACATGGTGCAATGAAGTATGCACAACGTTATTCCAAACTGTTGCATAGTTCACTCAATTCTTGGTGGAAATCTGCAAGCAATTCGATGCTGTTCCAATTAGATTTGGAATACCTTCGTCTGATGAAAGATAAAGCAAAAGTGGCTTGAATTCTGCTACCTTTCCCTTTAATCTTTACAACATTCCTTTCTTTGTTATTCTGTTTCTTGTAAGACAAATATGTGCACAGAGAAGAATAAGCTCCTTTTCATTGCTTGATCCCTGTATCAGATGCCCACTCTTTCGCCCTTCTACAGGAATGAGAATGATTGGTTTAGAAGTATGTGCTGTTTTCCTCTTCTTTGAAAATTGCAGAGGCTTCTCTAATTAGCGAGAGTCCTGGTTGGTGATCCCAGTGCTTTTTGTGGAAGGGATCGTACGGGCTATGCCTTCCTCGTTCTTCCCTGCTCTAGTTATATATTAGCTGATCGCAATGACTTATAGCTTTATTTGATGCTATGAGTGGCTGGACGTTTTCTTTTCTTTATGATTTCATTTCCGTAAGATTTTGATGGTGCAACTTCTATCGAGATTGGAACTTCATGATGTTCCTTATTCGCACAGCACTATTTCGAACTTCCATTTAGCCTAACGTCCCCTGGCTTCGGAAAACTTACAGAGATTGCGGAGTATCATAGCAAGCGCGCACAGAGTATTAGTAGCCAAGAGATTGAAACTTGAACTTGGGGGTTGTGGAAAAGAACTATGCTTGATGGGAGTCACAGAGACCTCTGAGATAGATAATGAAATCAAGAAACATTGCTATAATAAGCTTATTCCATGTACCTGCACAGATTAGGTCTTGCTGTCAATGGTACGAAACTGAATGTATTTTCGGTGTACAGCAGGTTGAGTCTTGTACTCTTTGCTTTGCACGTTCTGGATCCTTCACCAAAAGTCGAAGGGCAAGAAAGAATTGCTCAAACAAATAAAAGGGAGAAGAAACGATTGCTTCCCATTCATACTTTGCCTCTTCCAGCTTGGTTCTTGTCAAGGGTGGGATGCCCACATAAGTGTACATTCGCCAGTCCAAATAGCATCTTTGCTGCTGCCTACAAAATGCTTGTGATTGCTGGCCGTATCCAAGAATGTGCTTTACAAAGCAACTATTGTCTAACATAAGAAGAGCACGACCACTAAAGTCGGGGAACGAGTGTATCCGCTAGTTGGCTGCCCAATGACTGCAAATCGGTCAATCAGTGATCGATCTAAACATATGTTCCCCTGCATTTCTCTTTGATACTTTCTTCTCTCTTTCGCTTCATCACAACAAACAAGGCAAAAGGGAGATGACTCTGTGGTAACTGTTGAGAGTCGAATCACATAGCAACGAAGCAATTTTCAGATTAATTGACCGTAGCGATTGAGATGAAAATTGCAGGGTACTGTACTTGAGTAATCATTTAACATAAGATGATTTATCCACAAAACTGGTCCTTAGAAAAATGTTTCAGTCAAGCCTTATGCAGAACAATGCGTGTCTGAAAGGCTGATACAAACTGAGCACAGTAATTCCAACAGGTATATTTCTGCGAAGGTATTTCCTTCTATAAAACTCTGTACGATATCAATCCATCAACTGTCTCAACAACCAGGTGCTTCATGCGAGCAAGAAGCAGCAGAAAGGATCTTGCCCTGGGCCCTGCAATAAGCAGGAACAATGAATCATCTGAAGTGCTTAGGGAAAATACCGATATTAAGACTCAATGAGGAAAAAGACTAACAGGACGGCTATCCACATTTTGGTAAAATAAAGTTTTCAGAGGGCATCAAGTCACGGACAACGGGCTTGTTGAGGCAAGAACTGGTCAGTTTGCAGCAAATGCTTTCATGATCACTCAGAAATTCATATCACTATTGACGTTGTATACGCACCCAATGCCAATGATGATATTTCGTCTTGAAAGAAGCTCTTGTTTTCCGAACGATTCTCTTTCTTGCTTAGGTATGAGTTTATCTTCTCAATAGCTACAAGCAATTCCTGCAGAGTAAAATGCACTATGCAAATGGGTTAGGACTAACACCAGATCTCTTTTCAGCAAATTATGGCGAGAAAGGAAACAGAACCTTGCAGTGGGAAGATGATTTTACACATCAAGAGTAACATTTATTAGCTTGCCAATGTGCTAATGCTAGTGAAACCATCTAACCTACTTCATGTCCAAAATTCTCTGGGAGGCTGTTCTAGTGGGATTAATCCAATCAAGCAAGCACACTGCTTCTGTTTCAAAAGAATATACAGTTCACGCACTACTAACCCAGATGGTCTTATGCCAGCAGCTTAATACAAATTAAAAGTTAGTGCCTGCAGTGCATCTGCTGAGAGTCCAAGACAAATGCAAAGCTAAAGTTAGAGTTTCATACCTCCCATGATGCAAGACTTTTCATGTAGGAAGGAAGACTTTCGTACTCATCTTTTGATGCCTTAACTACAGATTTTGGACCTTCAACTGGATTCAAGTGTATTGAATCACGTAAGTATAAAGTGTGGGAGTAGGAAGAGTGAACTTAAAAGAATCTAATTAACCAATAACCCATGCAAATATTTTGTATTAGTACCTTCACTTGCCCCCAAGTTCACTGTAGCAGGTTTATATTGCCCCTCCAGGTCATGGATCTTCTCCTCTTGATTTCTAATTGGGACGAGAAGGAAGATTAATAGCAGAGGAGGTTCATGCCTTAATGAAGGAAAAGCAAAAATGGAGAAGGAAAAAAGTAGACCGAGAAAGAAGGAAAAACTCAAGCATGGGCCATCATACTTTTGTGGTTGTCTCGAACATAGATTTGGCTCAACAGTCTTACCATTAGCTGAAAATGATATAGAAGGGAAAATTTGTTAGATAAAACTGCTTGAGTAATAAGTAATTCAACTGCCTCCCAGCAAATTATCTCTCTAATCATCTCAACAAGGACTAACTTGATGTTCCAAATGACAATGAAGAGATATCAAAGGAGCAAGCTTGTACCAAATGATATTCAAAAGGACTTAAAGCACAAAGCATGTCTAACACATCCTTAAAGTTCCCTCACCTTCTGAAGCTAATGTGGCCAGAGCTACATCAGATATACCAAGTCTTTTCAAGCTGATGGAGTCATCAAATCTAGAGAACTTCAGGAAGGACAAATAGACAAAAGCTGGCAAATGGTATACCATAATAGGCCATGTTTTCACTTTTCAGTCATTTAGGATGATAATTTGCATATTGCAAAGCTGACATATTGCACCACTATTTGCAACTTGGATATAATAATGCAGTACCTATACTGCCAAATGCGATGGCTCAGTGGTAGGAGTCGACAGTACATAAACTCTAAGTCACAACGAAGGAAACAGAGGAAACACTGTTCAAGATTATTTTGCTGGCACCAGCATCAAACACAACCACTAGAGTTGACAGGAGATGGACTCATGGATTTCGAGTCACTCCACTGAGGTTGCTCTTGCCGCGCTCGGCCTACTCACTACTCAGGGTAGGCTCATGAAAAGAGCCTGTACTCAAAGCAAGCCAACCGTCTAGTGATTGTTCATAAGGGATAGAAGCTCTGGCCAGGTGTGGAGTCTCTAGCCAATTGATCTATCCCACCTAACCTCTTCAGCTTAGAATTCTACAATTTGCCCAATATTTCAGACTTTGATCAAAGAAAGTTGATATATCAAAATCCGACAAGGATACAGAGAATCTTCTTCAAAACACTTCGTCGTAGAAGCCGCTGCAGTAAGTCGCCCCGCACATGAAGATGGCAGGTCAAATCCACCATTTGCTAGTGGAAAATTAGGATCAAGTTCGAGAGGGCTCGATAAATCATCGACTGTATCTTCTTCAACATCATCATCGTCAACATCTACGAAACAAAACCAGGACATCAAGGTCTGCAGATAACTGACTTGCATGATTTCATTCCTTGCAACTCCTACTTAATTTCATTTTCCTTTCATCATCGGCTCAGCAGTCTTGTCCTAACGATCCAGCATATTGATATACACTTCAACACCAGGTAAACTTCCCTTACACAATCATGATCAATCAAACACGCAGGTGGAAAAAAGGACGAGCTGAAAGTACCGGGGACGTAGCCGAAGCTCTTAAGGCGTTCTTCGAGCTGAGCGAGGTCGGTCTGGTTCTTCTTGAAGACCTCGTTGCAGTGACCCAACAGCTCCTCAAACGACACGGTCCCAAACGACATGGAGTCGAGCAAATCGAGATCCCCGCTCGCGGTGGACACGCACCGGTTCAGGCACTGAACGAAGGTCGAAGAAGCCGAATCTGCGATCCGAAACACCAAAAGATATATCGATCGACCGAGAAGGAAAGGAAAACGCACGACCCGAAATAAGAAATCATCGCTCGCACCGAGAGGGATGGGACGGCGATGGATGGATTGGTTGAGGGCGTCGACGCTGCTCTGGAGGTGGTTGCAGAAATGGCCGAGGCTTCTGCCGAGCGTCGCTATCGCCTCCTCCATTTTCTGTTCGGAGCTTTTTGCCGATTGCGAAACGCGAAGGCAGAGCTCGCTCCTGCGATTCTGAGGGAGAGCTTCCGTTGAAGACGACGGAGCGGGAAACGAACGCCTGCTTTTCGAAATGCAATTGCACGGTCTACGATGAGGGGGGATCAGGGGCTTACTCGACGGTGGGTATCTCGTCCACGTGGATCACATCGCTAGAGCGAGTTTGGCCCCAAATTTCCATTATACATAACAACTCATTTTCAGTCTATACATGAATCTCTAATTATCTCACTTTTATTTTCTAAAAAGACACTATAATATATGTAATTCTCACTCATTAAGTAACAAAAGAATATTCAATAGTATCAAATCGCCACATCAGCCATGGACGTGACGTGCATTTCTCCAGTTGGGCCACTCACGGTTGCGAAACGCGAAAGCAAGCTCCCTCCCTCCTACGCTGAGCAAGAGCTGCGTAGAAGATGACAGAGCGGGAAACAAACCCCTGCTTTTGAAATGCACGATCAATGATGAGGAGAGAAGAGGTTTACTCAACGGTGGGGATCTTGTCCCCACGGAGGCCAGAATTATAACCCCATGTAAAGTTGGTCATTTTTAAGGAAATTGGGCCATTTCAAGTTGATTAATCTCCCAAGAACCAGAACCTCTCTAACTTTAACCCGAGGATGCCTCAACCTCGAGCAGCGAGGAGAAACACAATCCAAGCCGTAATTCTACTACCCCTAAAATTCTTCATCACCACACACAAGTCTCTTTCACTTGGGTAGAACTAGCAGCATTGGTCGAATGCGTTCGATTAGGCTGCCAAGAAAAGGGTAAGAAACAGAGAAAACTAATTACATGAAGCATCCGAGTTCATTTCTCTTGGTACAAGAGCGAGGGCAAATATATCAGCAGCCTAAAGTTCACGGGCCGTGACACCATCAAAAGCCGCCTGATGTTTTTCTTGTCCTAGTGTCCACATGCTTCTAATTCGCAAGAAGTTGGCCTTGGCTCCAGTTTCTGGATCATGTATCTTTCCGAATAGCTTAAACACTCTGCAGATCCTAGGAGGCCATCAAAAGCCGCCGGATGTTTTTCTTGTCCTCGTGTCCCACATGCTTCTAATTCGCAAGAAATTGGCCTCGGCTCCAGTTTCTGGATCATGTATCTTTTGGAATAGGGCTTAAGCACTCAGCAGATCCTAGGAGCCACTTCAAGTCTTTGATGATAAGGATCGCAAATGCAGTCGATAGTGTGCATCGATTGTAAATCAAACATGTTCTATGCAAATCAAATCCTAATATTTGCACAAAACATCATTCCCAAAATCTTAGAATAAGGTGATTTTCGCAATATCACGAGCGACGAGAGGCATACCTTAATCCATGATGATTTCTTGTGAAGAAATCAATTGTGAATGAGAAATCTTTCGAAAAATAGGTTTTTCTCTCTTGACCTCTTTTCACTTTCTGACGTTCTTGATGGAAAAGAAACCATCCTTTTATTTTTTTATGGAAAAGAAACCATCCTAACAAGCACAGCCAGAATTACAATGTTATAAATGAGCGTGATGATGTCCTCATACTTCTCGTACATATTTGAGAGCAAAAGATTATGCACGGTCTTCGTAAAATTAAAGCACACCTAGACTAAGCAACACCAACAGTCACCTTGAAACCTGGGACAACTACGACAACATTGGGATGTACTAATAGAAGGCCAAGAAAATACCAATGGACTCTTTAAGTAAACCGTAGTGACCAATAGATAGAGGGAAGTTCATCTATGAAAAGTCAATCGCGGCCATGTTCAATTTGTTCCATGCTGTCAAGAAACTCTTTTCCCCTTCTGTGATTCATGAAGCCAAATAGGCTTTGTGAGGCCGTGCATCACTTGTTTTAGATTATCTAACCTAGCATAGGAATAGTGGATATGAGGAGAAATTCAAGGTTGCCAAGAACCTGAAGGCATTAGCAATCACACGACATCCGAGGCATGAAATACAAGCAATCACCATCGTCAACGCTTTATATTATTATATGGCCCTGAACTCGGCATTTCCCATTTTCTACGCGTTCAATAAGTTAACATTTTTCGTGATTTTACTTTTTGTCTCATTATGTAATTAGCTGAATCAAAATGTGACATTAGATATTCCGACAATTTAAGATTCATCAACATTGTTTGTTATTTTATAGAAAAAGGAGTTGAATACCAAGATTACGAAGTCGTTTGGAGTCTTTGCCCTTCCACCTTTGGATTTGCTTAGAAAAAGCAAAATCGAGATTTTATCGAGAACAATTGTAAACTTCAAAAAGAAAATGATATATGTTATATGTGTATTTTTACATGAATATATTTAAGTTGTAAGTATTTCGGTGAAAATAAAATTTGAAGAAAGCAAAAAAATTGTTGACCCAATTTTCACTTAAGAATGTGGAAAAATGTATAACGATAAATTAAGAAAGAGAGAAAATGAAGAGGAGTGCGCCTTCTATGGTTACTGGTGTTGCAACGTCCAGGTCGACGGCGGCGGCGACGCGCCGACGCTCAGCTCGCAAGCCGTTGCGGCTCGAGGAATTCCTCCGTGAGCAGAACCAGTGGCCGGTGGGGCAGTCGGAGGTGGCCCTGGTGACGGAGGACTGGAGGCTGAGCCAGTTCTGGCCGTCGCTAATGAAGTCCTCGCGCTCTGTTCGGGCACGCACGCTCGCGTTGCTTGCATCGCTTGCCCCACGCTTTATGCTTATCTCAAGGTGCGCCATTTTTCTGTTCCATCGGCTTTTCCGTGGTTGAAGAACTGATCGACTGTGATTATCTGAACTGCGCTCTGTGTTTCTACTTGACAATGAGCTTCCGGTTTACGCTTTTTTCCCATATTCTTGTTACTCCTTGTAAATGCAAAGGACCAACGCGAGCTCTGGTCGATGTTATTGTATATTCCTTGTAACTGCAAAGGGCCAGCGTGAGCCTCTGGTTGATGTTCTTGTTACTGCCCTTTCGGGTTCTGGTCCATGCCTTTCCTTATGTCATGTTTCGCCGCGCTTACTGTCGGGAGTGTGCATACCCTGTCATTCGAGCGATCTTATTTGGAATTGGGCTTCGCCGAGAGAATGATTGGCTCAATGCCACCCGCGCAAATGCGCTGGTCGTGTCAAAGTTCGATGACCCCATGCTAAATCAATTAAATAAGATTAGACTTCGGAATAAATGAGTTGTTTTCAAGCGACCATATTACTGGAGCAAATTTCAGATTGGAGTATACTATCCTGTTCGGCATTTTGACATATATCCTCTCCCTAGGAAAAATGAAGGGGGAATGGTCAGTTACAGATGCTATTGCTGTTTGGAAGCCATATCGCCTCTGTCCCCTTATTGTTGAACTCTTTTCCTGAAGTAGAACCTCAAGGTCGTTAGTATGTTAGTCCTTTCCACGCCGGAACACTCGAGCTTTGAGCTTTTGACTTTCTATGGTCTTTTGGCTTCCACTCGGTTATTTTATATAATGTAAGTAGTAGGTGGGTCCGTGGTATCCGGTCAAGTATCAAATGGGAAGATAGTTTTGTAAAATGTGTGAACAATCGATAGGTGTTGCATTATGCCATTTGTTGCAGTACAAGTAATATATTTTGATGCGCCTGTCAAACATACGATTTAGTCCAGCCTTGAAGTCTAAGAGAAGATTCGGCCATAATGAGATGATTTATTGTAGTTTATCAACTTTTGGAATGGGTTTACTTTTTTCATCAACGCTCATATCTCAGATTATGAAGTGTGCATTTCATTGGCGTTTCATTATGAGAAAGGTGTTTGAAGTAACATATTTGTGGTATCATATCAGAGAATTGATCCTAGTGTCTTTGTGCAACTGCTCGAGTACGACAAATGTTTTGAACAATACGGAATTGACTTCATGTTCTACGGCTACAACCAACCAGAAGAGTCGCCAACTGAAATGAAGCATGATTTCCAAGTGGTTGTTGCAGATCCTCCGTATCTGGTAAGTCTATGTGGCCTCGCGAACTATAAATGCTTAGGCCTCCCTATTCTATGTTTACCGTGTCTTATCTTGTCCCGGAACCGGAAGATCCTTTAGTGGACACTCTTATGTATCTCTTTCCATTATCGGCTGCATACATTTTGATTCCTTTCTTTATGAGCCACAGAGTGGAAAGTGCTTGGAGAAAGTTGCTCAAACCATATCTTTCCTCTCGCAGTCAAACGCTTACTTTCTTTTACTTACACGTATGTGTGGACTGTTAGTCCTCCCGTGGAACCTGTAACCTAACTTCTTGGTTTATTGTCTTTCATTTGCAGTGACGTTATACCTATGAACTGCAGCAGTTCTATTTCCCCCCCTTTTTGGAGTATGCTGGATGCCTTATATCCCTTTCTAATGCCTGGCAAATTCTGAGATGCTTGCAGGAGAAGTTCAAAAGGATAGAGCTGCAGAACTTCTTGGTTTGCATCCATGCATATTCCGGCCTAAGCATTCCAGCAAGCTTGGGAATGAATTTCGCCCTATTCACTAACTACAATCTAGGGACGCGATTGGGAGGATGGGAGCAAGAGAAATAAATAACGCATCTTTTGACGTGAATTTTGTTGGTTAGTGTTGTTTTTTCATGACAAAAGGGATGTCATAAGCTTGCCAGTTTGCCTGGAGGCATGACCCTATAATCAAGTGCAACATAGTATTTGCATTTTCTCTGCAAACTTAACCGTAGGTTGATTACCATAAAAAAAATAACCTAGGTTGATGAATGGTATAACTTTTGAGCTCAAACGTTTTTGGAGTAAATTCCGACCCTCCTCATAAAAATGATGATTTTCAAATAGTCGAAAATTATCCTAATCGAGTGTAAGAAAATCGCATCATAGATTTCTTATAGTCTGCGAACAGGAAATTCAAAGATACATATGTGAAAATTATCCGAGTTGTGTTTTTCAAAGAAATATTGCAAAGTGGCCCTTTAAACTTTCTCTTTGATTAAAAATATATATGTACATATATATTGTCAATGTACTCTTACAAAGTTTTAAAAATGAGTCAATTCACCAAAATTGCCCTACATGTTTGTATCCTAGAGTCAACATGTCATTTAAAATTCTCTTTTTTTGACGGGTGAAATAGATTACATCACCTCGACAACTAGTCCTAAATCCATATTTCTCTATCATTTCAATGCAAATTGTCATCGCGAACAGTCTTGGGTCATTGTCACTCAATCCCAAGTGGTAGTCAATTAGTCTCAATTAGCATCAGTTGGACTTGAGTAGCTTTCAGTCCGCCATGAGGTCGACAACGGTTGTCCTCGACCAGGGCTGATGTGTCATAAGTCATAGTCAATTATCCCATAATGCCTATCCTTAATCCCCCGATGGGCGTTGAGCAGTCGTGTGTCGTTGGCAGATTCCAATTTTCAAAAGATTTTACAATTTACATATATGTCAATCGAAAAAATATGAAAGATTACCACAAACATGTCAATGGGCCAGGAAACCTCATTTTTAGTTGCGGCTCCAAGCATGGGAGGCGCTTTGAAATTTCTTTTATCCTTAAATTCTAACTTTTAAATTTCTAATAATATGACACATTGAGGTGCTTCCGCTATTCTCTTTTTTTTTTTAGCTATTTATGTTGAGGCGTAAATTAACCCCCAACATAGATACTCAAATGGAATTGCAAGTTTCGACCAAACAAAAAAAGAAGGAATTGCAAGATGCAAAGTAGCCACTTTTGCTTTGCAGATAGCATCGCATACTTTCTGGAAGACTTCGACTTGCAAGAACATCGTTAATGAAAAAAAGACCGAAAATCACCAGATGAGCAATCATTTGAATTGTATGCATGATCCAAATTTAATTCATGAACGTGTAAAAAAAGAGGGGGAGTTCGCTTATATCGATGAATCAATTTATTCTCTTCCTTACGCCGATATAAATCTCTCAGACAGGAGCGATCTTGCTCCAATCTCCACCGCTTCTAGCTGTGGTCGTAGAGAGTGCGCATCGAAAACTTTGATACCAATTGATAAATAAAAAAAAACGAACTCATTTAAAGTAACCACACATATGCTCTTTATAATATCGATCGAGAGAACAACTTATACACACTTATATAAGCACACAGATATTTCTTAAAAGGTATCTTTCTAAGTATTTCTGGAGAATATATAGAGTGGTCAACCTGTTAGCCACCCATTTTTACACTCATCTTATAAGAATTTATTTTACAAGACAATATCTAGATATTTAGACATTTTATTCGCAATTATCTTCTTCTTCAACATCGGTGCTCCTGCTCAATTCCCCCGCAATTAGTTAATTATCCGCAACTCTCGTGGAACTGATTTTTTCTTTAGATTCCAAGAGATGGCGTGGCAGTTGACCATGCAAGTAAATAAAGACAATATAAGAAACATGATCTCAAAATATCAAATTTTAAAAGTCATAAACGTGTCGAAAAAAAAGGGGGGAATTTGCTCATACCGATGAATCAATTTTAATCATCTTCTTCTCCACAACTGCTCAATTCCCCGCAACGAGATATCCGCAGCTTTGTCAATGTGGGAATGAGGCGAACGCCGTCTGGCAGAGAGGACAATCCAGGACAGTCTTCAATCTCCAGTGTTCTCAGAGAAGAACAATTTTGCAGCCACTCGGGCAATACACTCAGGTTGGGACAATCCTTAATTCTTATCCTCTGCAGTGTGCTTGCAGAACCTTCGAGCCACCCAGGCAAAGAAACTATTTCCGGTAATTCCTCAATTATGAACGATTGAAGCCTCGACATGGAGCGTGGTTCATTACTTTCGCCTCCCGGCAGCTTCAAGCTCTGGCAGCCGCCAATCAAGAGATCCTCCAATGCCTTGAGATTCTTGATGCCTTGTGGTAAGGAGGCCAACTTCGGACAATAAAAAATGAGCAACTTACGGAGCGACACGAGCGATTGGATATCATCGAACAAGGCCTCCAAATTCTCGCAGTCTCCAATGAATAGCCACTGCAGAGAGGTCAAGCATCCTATTCCCCTCTTCGGGAAACGCTGCTGTTTCGTGGTTATCATCAAAACGCGGAGACTGATCATATTCTTGATGTCTGCAGGCAGTTCCTCGAGTTCCTCGCACCCACCAAGACCTAAGTACTGCAGATTGCGAAGCTCGCAGACCAATTTGGGGAGTTTCTTGATATCGCGGTTGTCATTTAAATTGAGAAACCTCAAATGCTTTAGACCGCCAATGGAACTAGGCAGTTGGTCAAAGCTAGAGCCATCTAGCCATAGCACTCGCAAGTGCTTGAATCGCGAAATGCATGTCTCCAGAAAGAACGCCTCAGAGTCAGAGGATCTCAACCCCTCACATATAATGGTGCGAACGCGGCTCAGTTTGCTCAAGCAGCGGCTTAGTTCATCTTTTGGTACACGAGATGGGTTGGGAAATGATAGATGCCGAGTCCTCGGGGAAATATCCTGCGTCCACACTTTCATGTTGGACGATTCGGTTTGTGCCACCGAAATGGCGAGTTCGTAAATGAGGTCATGCATTCTGAAGGACTGGAGCGGATATTCGTCCTCGACAACATCGAAGAAGGATCTTGACCGCAGCTCCTCCAAGTACCGCCGTCCAATCTCTTCCGGCTCCTGACTATTTCCGCTGGACTGGATAAACCCACTGGAGATCCACAGTTGGATCAGATCAAAGTTCTCGATCTTGTGATTCTTCGGGAATATCGAGCAATAAGCGAAACATCGTTTCAAGTAAGACGGCATTAGATCATAACTTATTCTTAGTGAAGGTAAAATATCAGTTTGTAATTCCCACATCTGACTATCTCTTACATATTCCCAATCGCTCCGATCGTTTTTTGCATACAACAAGCTTCCCAGAGCCTTTACCGCCATAGGATTTCCACTGCACTTGCTCACAATTTCCTTACCGATTTCCATGAGGTCCGGGTGATTCTTCTCTTGCCCTGGATTGAACGCGTACTTCACGAACAAAGTCAAAGAATCCTCCTGCGAAAGCTCGGCCAATTTAAGCGGGGGGACAGTGCCCATGATTGAGGCGATCGATTCATTCCGCGAAGTCACGATGACTTTACTCCCTTCGGAAACGCCTTCTAACAACTCTGTCAGTTCCGCCCAAGCCTCCCGCGTCACTTCCCACACATCATCCATTACAAACAAACACCTTTTGTTCTCCACCATGCTTCTTAGGCGGCTTTGCAGCATGTCAAGTTTATCATATTTTTCTTTGTGACCAAGAGACTCGACGATGTCTGTTATTATTTTCGTAATCTGGAATTTTACTGGCATGGATAACCAAACTAGGCAATCGAAATGGTTTTTTATCCCGTCATCATTGTAAACCAATTTAGCAAGGGTCGTCTTTCCAGCACCTCCTATTCCAATAATTGAAACAACTGCTATCGTACCAGCTCCACCATCATCTGATCTTATCAACAGCTCTATTATTTTTTTCTTTTCTTCCTTCCTTCCAATCACTTTTGAAGCGGGTACAAAAGAATAAGTTTCCCTTTGCGGAACTATAGTCTTTTCATCAACATCACTCGACAGGTTGAACTTAGTTTTCTCTTTATCGATCTCATCAAGTCTCGCTCTCAGTTCTCTCATCTTATGTCCCATCTTAAACTGGAAAATGAAGTTGGATATCCACGAGGACAAGTAGCGTACCTTCCTTTTGAGGGTCAAGTGCTCGGTCGACCTCGCCCGCCTCAACAAAGCTCTAGCTTCGAATTCGTCTAGCACGTCCTCGGCATCGTAGCAGAAGTCTTTAAGCTTTGACAACCAAAGCCTCACAGCTGCCTCTTTTGTTTGCTTCTGCTCAGCATCGGCGAGCACCTTCTGGATCATCTCTAGCGTGCTCTTGAGCTTCTCTCGGTCATGCTTGACGCCCCATACCAGTTGAATTTCTTCAATAGCCGATGAAGCTAGTTTCTGCACAATAGATCCGATGATGCTCGAGACGGCCTCAGCCATGGTTGTGATTGGTGTTATTGGTTTTTGAGGAGTTTTGGCGTAACCGATGCAGGAACTAAACTAGTTATCAGGTGAAGGATAGCAAAAAGAAGCATGATTTTGCCAGGTTTTATAGGCAGAGACGTAGGAATACACACGGTGCGATGGTGTATGCACAACGTTATTCCAAACTGTTGCATAGTTCACTCAATTCTTGGTGGAAATCTGCAAGCAATTCGATGCTGTTCCAATTAGATTTGGAATACCTTCGTCTGATGAAAGATAAAGCAAAAGTGGCCCGAATTCTGCTACCTTTCCCTTTAATCTTTACAACATTCCTTTCTTTGTTACTCTGTTTCTTGTAAGACAAATATGTGCACAGAGAAGAATAAGCTCCTTTTCATTGCTTGATCCCTGTATCAGATGCCCACTCTTTCGACCTTCTACAGGAATGAGAATGATTGGTTTAGAAGTATGTGCTGTTTTCCTCTTCTTTGAAAATTGCAGAGGCTTCTCTAATTAGCGAGAGTCCTGGTTGGTGATCCCAGTGCTTTTTTGTGGAAGGGATCGTACGGGCTATGCCTTCCTTGTTCTTCCCTGCTCTAGTTATATATTAGCTGATTGCAATGACTTATAGCTTTATTCAATGCTATGAGTTGCTGGACGTTTTCTTTTTCTTTATGATTTCATTTCCATAAGATTTTGATGGTGCAACTTCTATCGAGATTGGAACTTCATGATGTTCCTTAATCACACAGCACTATTTCGAACTTCCATTTAGCCTAATGTCCCCTGGCTTCAGAAAACTTACAGAGATCGCAGAGTATCATAGCAAGCACGCGCAGAGTATTAGTAGCCAAGAGATTGAAACTTGGAACTTGGGGGTTGCGGAAAAGAACTATGCTTGATGGGAGTCACAGAGACCTCTGAGATAGATAATGAAATCAAGAAACATTGCTATAATAAGCTTATTCCATGTATCTGCACAGATTAGGTCTTGCTGTCAATGGTACAAAACTGAATGTATTTTCGGTGTACAGCAGGTTGAGTCTTGTACTCTTTGCTTTGCACGTTCTTCTTGATCCTTCACCAAAAGTCGAAGGGCAAGAAAGAATTGCTCAAACAAATAAAAGGGAGAAGAAACGATTGCTTCCGTTCATACTTTGCCTCTTCCAGCTTGGTTCTTGTCAAGGGTGGGATGCCCACATAAGCGTACATTCGCCAGTCCAAATAGCATCTTTGCTGCTGCCTACAAAATGCTTGTGATTGCTGGCCGTATTCAAGAATGTGCTTTAAAAAGCAACTGTTGTCTAACATAAGAAGAGCACGACCACTAAAGTCGGGGAACGAGTGTAACCGCTAGTTGGCTGCCCAATGACTGCCAATCGGTCAATCAGTGATCGATCTAAACATATGTTCCCCTGGATTTCTCTTTGATACTTTCTTCACTCTTTCGCTTCATCACAACAAACAAGGCAAAAGGGAGATGACTCTTTGGTAACTGTTGAGAGTCGAATCACATAGCAACGAAGCAATTTTCAGATTAATTGACCATAGCGATTGAGATGAAAATTGCAGGGTACTGTACCTGAGTAATCATTTAACATAAGATGATTTATCTACAAAGCTGGTGCTTAGAAAAATGTTTCAGTCAAGCCTTATGCAGAACAATGCGTGTCTGAAAGGCTGATACAAACTGAGCACAGTAATTCCAGCATGTATATTTCTGCGAAGGTATTTCCTTCTATAAAACTCTATACGAGATCAATCCATCAACTGTCTCAACAACCAGGTGCTTCATGCGAGCAAGAAGCAGCAGCTAGGATCTTGCCTTGGGCCCTGCAATAAGCAGCAACAATGAATCATCTGTAAGTGCTTAGGGAAAATACCGATATTAAGACTCAATGAGGAAAAAGACTAAGAGGACGGCTATCCGCATTTTGGTAAAATAAAGTTTTCAGAGGGCATCAAGTCACGGACAACAGGCTTGTTGAGGCAAGAACTGGTCAGTTTGCAGCAAATGCTTTCATGGTCACTTAGAAATTCATATCACTATTGACGTTATATACGCACCCAATGCCAATGATGATATTTCGTCTTGAAAGAAGCTCTTGTTTTCCAAACGGTTCTCTTTCTTGCTTAGGTATGAGTTTATCTTCTCAATAGCTATAAGCAAATCCTGCAGAATAAAATGCACTATGTAAATGGGTTAGGACTAACACCAGATCTCTTGTCAGCAAATTATGGCAAGAAAGGAAACAGAACCTTGCAGTGGGAAGATGATTTTACACATCAAGAGTAACATTTACTAGCTTGCCCATGTGCTAATGCTAGTGAAACAGTCTAACCTACTTCATTTCCAAAATTCTCTGGGAGACTGTACTAGTAGGATTAATCCAATCAAGCAAGCACACTGCTTCTGTTTCAAAAGAATATACGGCTCACGCACTACTAACCCTGATGGTCTTACGACAGCAGCAGCTTAATGCAAATTAAAAGTTATTGCCTGCAGTGCATCTGCTGAGAGTCTGAGACAAAATACAAAGCTAAAGTTAGAGTTTCATACCTCCCATGATGCAAGACTTTTCATGTAGGAAGGAAGACTTTCGTACTCATCTTTTGATGCCTTAACTACAGATTTTGGACCTTCAACTGGATTCAAGTGTATCGAATCACGTAAGTATAAAGTCTGGGAGTAAGAAGAGTGAACTTAAAAGAATCTAATTGACCAATAACCCATGCAAATATTTTGTATTAGTACCTTCACTTGCCTCCAAGTTCAATGTAGCAGGTTGATATGGCCCCTCCAGGTCATGCATCTTATCCTCTTGATTTCTAATTGGGACGAGAAGGAAGATTAATAGCAGAGGAGGTTCACGCCTTAATGAAGAAAAAGCAAAAATGGAGAAGGAAAAAAGAAGACCGAGAAAGAAGGAAAAACTCAAGCATGGACCATCATACTTTTGTGGTTGTCTCGAACATAGATTTGGCTCAATAGTCTTACCATTAGCTGAAAATGATATAGAAGGGAAAAATTGTTAGATAAAACTGCTTGAGTAATAGGGAATTCAACTGCCTCCCAGCAAATTATTTCTCTAATCATCTCAACAAGGACTAACTTGATGTTCCAAATGACAATGAAGAGATATCAAAGGAGCAAGCTTGTACCAAATGATATTCAAAAGGACTTAAAGCACAAAGCATGTCTAACACATCCTTAAAGTTCCCTCACCTTCTGAAGCTAATGTGGCCAGAGCTACATCAGATATACCAAGTCTTTTCAAGCTGATGGAGTCATCAAATCTAGAGAACTTCAGGAAGGACAAATAGACAAAAGCTAGCAAATGGTATACCATAATAGGCCACGTTTTCAATTTTCAGTCATTTAGGATGAAAATTTGCATATTGCAAAGCTGACATATTGCACCACTATTTGCAACTTGGATATAAATATGCAGTACCTATACTGCCAAATGCGATGGCTCAGTGGTAGGACTCGACAGTACGTAAACTCTAAGTCACGACGGAGGAAACACTGTTCAAGATTATTTTGCTGACACCAGCATCAAACACAACCACTAGAACTGACAGGAGATGGACTCATGGATTTCGAGTCAGTCCACTGAGGGTGCTCTTGCCGCACTCAGCCTACTCAGGCGTGAAAGGGCCTGCACTCAAAGCAAGCAAACCGTCTAGTGATTGTTCCTAAGGGATAGAAGCTCTGGCCAGGTGTGGAGTCACTGGCCAATTGATCTATCCCTCCTAACCTCTTCAGCTTAGAATTCTACAATTTGCCAATATTTCACTTTGATCAAAGAAAGTTGATATATCAAAATCCGACAAGGATACAGAGAATCTTCTTCAAAACACTTCGTCATAGAAGCCGCTGCAGTAAGTCGCCCCGAAAATGAAGATGGCAGGTCAAATCCACCATTTGCTAGTGGAAAATTAGGATCAAGTTCGAGAGGGCTCAATAAATCATCGACTGTATCTTTTTCAACATCATCATCGTCAACATCTACGAAACAAAACCAGGACATCAAGGTCTGCAGATAACTGACTTGCATGATTTCATTCCTTTCAATTCCTACTTAATTTCATTATCCTTTCATCATCGGCCCAGAAGTCTTGTCCTATCGATCCAGCATATTGATATACACTTCAACACCAGGTAAACTTCTCTTACACAATCATGATCAATCAAACACGCAGGTGGAAAAAAGGTCGAGCTGAAAGTACCGGGGACATAGCCGAAGCTCTTAAGGCGTTCTTCGAGCTGAGCGAGGTCGGTCTGGTTCTTCTTGAAGACCTCGTTGCAGTGACCCAACAGCTCCTCAAACGACACAGTCCCGAACGACATGGAGTCGAGCAATTCGAGATCCCCGCTCGCGGTCGACACGCGCCGGTTCAGGCACTGAACGAAGGTCGAAGAAGCCGAATCTGCGATCCGAAACACCAAAAAATAAATCGATCGACCGAGAAGGAAAGGAAAACGCACGGCCCGAAGTTAGAATTCATCCCCCGCACCGAGAGGGATGGGACGGCGATCGATGGATTGGTTGAGGGCGTCGACGCTGCTCTGGAGGTGGTTGCAGAAATGGCCGAGGCTTCTGCCGAGCGTCGCTATCACCTCCTCCATGTCCTGCGACTCTGAGGGAGAGCTTCCGTTGAAGACGACGGAGCGGGAAACGAACGCCTGCTTTTGGAAATGCAATTGCACGGTCTACGATGAGGGGGGATCAGGGGCTTACTCGACGGTGGGGATCTTGTCCACGTGGATCAAATCGCTAGAGCAAGTTTGGCCCCAAATTTCCATTATACATAACAACTCATTTTCATTGACTCTCTAATTATCTCACTTTTATTTTCTAAAAAGACACTATAATATGTGTAATTCTCACTTATTAAGTAACAAAAGAATATTCAATAGTATGAAATCGCCACACTAGCCATAGACGTGACATGCATTTCTCTAGTTGGGTTGGGCCACTCACAGTTGCGAAACGCGAAAGCAAGCTCCCTCCCTCCTGCGCTGAGCAAGAGCTGCGTTGAAGATGACAGA